GAATGCCAAGAAACCCTCTGGAGCTAGAAAGGGTCTCAGAAGAGCCATTTGCAACTGATGAGTATTTACTATCCTTTTGGGGCTCTGAAGAGAATCTCCCTAGAATGTGAAATACCCCTCTTGCAAACCAAATTTTGTATTCAGTTTAGTAAGGCTTACATTCCTAAACCACTTCATATGTTCAGGCAGAGGTGTGAGCACACTCACGTTTCATTCATCCAATCCTCACAATCACTCCAGGAGGTGGGAACTGGGATGGTTATTATCTCTGTGCTTCAGATGAGGAAACCGAGACCCAAAGTCCCAAGACTTCTCAGCCCCTAATGGGTGTGGCTGAGTAGTAAGGTTAAGGAGGTTGTTGTGGGGATGGTCATGTCACAAGTAATTTGTTCCTGGTAGTAAAATGCTAACACATGCAAATTACTGACTTTTCTTTAAACTATTTGATTATGAATTGTAACATCCATTCAGAAAAGTGCATAGAAAAAGTACAGACCAAAGATTTCTCAAAGTGCAAACATCCATGTAACCCAGGTTAAGAAATAGCAAAGCCCCCAGAAGCTCCCGTGTGCTCTTTTGCTGTGTTATTGCCTCCCTCTCCTCAGAGGAACCTATCAACCTAACTTTCATAATGATCACTTCCTCACTTTAAAAAATAACTTTAGTACCTAAGCATATATCCCCAGGTTCTGAAGTTCCATTTTACTTGCTTTTGAACTTTATACATGTAGAATGTCTTCTTTGGTGTCTGGCTTCTTTCACTGAATATTGTTTCGAGATTCACTTAGGCTATTGCATGCAGCCGTAGTTACTCCATCTTCATTGCTATGTAATATTCCGCTATGTTAATGTACTGTACATTATTTATCTATTTTTTCTTCAGTTACATTTGGTTTTTTCCATTTTGGGTTAATATAAGTATGTCTGTGAACATTCATGTATATGACTCCCAGTGCACATGTGCACATACTTCTGTTGGTTCTGTGTCCAAGAGTGGAGTACTGGGTAACAAGGTATGCAAATCCTCCAACTGAGCGTGCAGTGCCAGCATATCTTCCACCATGGTTGTTCTAAGGTACATGGTCATGACCTGGTATGAGAGTCCCCATATCTTGGCATCCTCACCAGCACTTGGTTTTGTCACTGAGCTTAATTTCAGCCTTTCCAATGGGTAGCTTTTAGAATCTTACTGTAGTCTTAATTTATATTTTCTTGATTATTAACTTGATCACCTTTTCATATGTTTATTGGATATTTGGATGTCCTGCTTTACTTTTGTTATTGAGGTAAAGTTCATATAACATAAAACTGGCCATTTTCTTGTGTATAATTTCAGTGGCATTTAGTACATTTACAGTATTGCACAGCCATAATCTCTATCTAGTTCTAAAACATTTTCATTGTTCTAAAAGAAAACCCTAATTCTATTAAGCATTCACCTTCTATTTCCTTCATTCGTCCCTCACCAAACCCTGGCAACCACTAAACTGCTTTTTGTCTCCATGGATTTGCCTATTCTGGATATTCCATGTAAATGGAATCATATAATATGCGACCTTTTGTGTCTGGCTTTTTTCACTTAGCGTAATGTTTTTGGGGTTCGTCCATGTTGTAGCGTGGATCAGTGCTTCATTTCTTTTTATGGCTGAATAATATTCCGTTATATGGATATACCACAATTGGTTTGTCCTTTCTTCCACTAATGGGGACATTTAGGTTGTTTCTACTTTTTGGCTATTATAAATAATGTTATTAAGAACATTTGTATACAAGGATTTGTTTGAGTACTTGTTATCAGTTATTTTGGGTATATAGCTGGAAGTGGAATTGCTGGGTCATAAGGTAATTTCATGCTTGAATTTTGGAGGAACTCCCAAACTATTTTCCACAGTGACTGTGCCGTTTTACATTCCCACCAGCAGTGTACAAAGGTTCTGATTTTTCCACATTCTTGTCAACACTTGAAATTTTTAAATTATCGCCATCTTAATGGGTGTAAAGTGGTGTCTTATTGTAGTTTGGATTTGCATTTCCCTAATGATTAATGATGTTGAGCATCTTTTCATGTGCTTATTGGCTATTTATAGGCCTTTGAGGGAAATTCTGAAAACTAATCAGAGCAGGTTCAGGTTTTCCCTCTAATCACTCTTGCTCACTGGCAGTCTTACGTGCTTTCCTGAGTGAGAAAGAAGTAAGAGTCTCATTTGAGATTTTGCATCATGGCCTCCCTTACCTGTGCTCTGGCCTGTAATGAGCTACTGTTGCTTACATGCCATAGGATTTGCGACAAATATAAATGATTGTAGTGTTTTATTTACTAGCTGATTTTTTTTTTGGTTCATCTGAAGTTGGGAATGCCTGTAGTAGCATCAAGTTCCACTTGTGTGTTTTACAGCAGAGCGAAGGCTGAAAACCCCTGGCACACTGAACCATTTATAGCTCCCTACATATAGTTGGGATTTTGCAGTCCCTTGACTTTGCACAAGGTATCAACTAACTCTCCTGTCTAGAGCACACTTTCTCACCCTCCCTTTCTTTTTAAGGTCTAATCCTACCTAGCAGCTGAATGAAACCTCTTCCAAGGGACCTTCCCTGGATCTTTCCAGCTGAGTTTTCTTTTCGCTACACCCCTATAGCCCTTCTTCTTTCTCCAGGCCCCAGCATTGTCTCCCTTATACTATCAATATGCTTATTCATCAATCTTTCCCATGGGAGCACCTTAAAGTTGTGAGTCATGCCTCATTTGTCTGGAGGTGGCCGCTTGGACTTTGGCCATTTTGTTATTATGGTAAACAGTACTGCTGGAAACATCTTCAGACAAATGGCTTTTATTTTCTTTTGGGTTATTTCCATTGACTAGATACCCTCAGACAAACAGAACTAGTTGGATAGTTCTTATGAATGTAGATGGATCTTTTTCAGGTGCACATTTAATCACGCTACTCCCTAGTTTAATTGCTCTTGCTGGGTTCTCATTGTACTGAGGGTGGAGTCATGCTCCTTATTCCAAAGGGCCCTTTGTGGTCTGGCCTCTGCCTGCCTCTTCTTCTCCACTCACACGAAGCCCCTCTTGACTTAGGCTAACACCAAACCACTAGCAGATTTCTGAATGAGGTATGCGATATCCCACCTCTGTGTCTTTGCACAGGCTGGTCCCTTTTTGAGGATGCCTTTCCTTTGTCCACCTGGCAAACTCCATTCACCCTTTAAGATTCCTTTCTAAGAAGCCCTCCTGCTCTTCCAGGCGTGTTGAGTGTCTTTCTTCTGGGCTAATACTGTGTTCACCCATCTCTTGGTCACAGAGCTTTTCAGACTAGACCATGAGTCAGGGACTGGGCCTCGTCCAATTCTGAATCCCAGGATCTAGCACAGGGCCAGGCACAGAGCGGACACTCAGCAAACTCTTTCAATG